CAGTGACCTCACCCTTGCTGCGCAAGGGGAAGACAGTGGTGTAACGCGAGTAGTCGTCAACCACCAGCAGGAAGTAACGCTCGTGACCCTGTCCACGGACGCGGGCTGGGCCCCACACGTCCATGTGAAGAGTCTGCAGCGGAGCCTCTGTCGGGGGAAACTCGGAGGAGTGAGGAGCGGCGCGCTGCCGCCCCTCGACGCAGGGAACGCAGGTAGGGGCAGGCCCCGGGGGAAGGGGAGGGAGGGACCGGGGGAGACCAGAGACAAGGACACGGGAGGCCATGCCTCGGAGACGAGGCAAGGAGGGGTGACCAAGGCGGTGGTGCCAGAGGAGGGTCTGGTGGGACAGGAGGCGACACGAGCAGGGGGCAGACTCAGGACCTGACCGAGACGCTGCAGCAAACACCTGACTCGACGCAGCTACCTGACCAGACGCAGCAACCGGAGGAGACTCTGTGGTTAGTGTGTACAGGCTCGACCCCGGTCGACGGGTAAACGAGGCCAAGTGGCGGCCCGTCTGAGCACACGTGCAGTGGGTCACTCGCTGACCTGCAGGAGTGAACTGGTCAACTCCGGCATCCTGAAGGTCAGCACCACTCACCAAGTTCGTGGAGAACGAGGGGAGGTAGAGACCAGACAGGGAGCCTGACGGGGCCGCCGGACACGGGAGGACAGTGGAGTAGCGAGCAAGGACAGGACCCCTAGAGGGGTCTGCCAGGGAGACCGCAACCGGCCGACTGAGCGGCGTAAGGGTGGTGCGGTCTCGAAAGAAGGAGCGGGAAGCACCCAAGTCGAGGGTGAAGGTGTGAAAGACCTGAGCCGACTCGGTACCTGAGAGAGCAGACTCACCAGCACCTAGAGCAGCAGACTCACGAGTACCTGGAGCAGCAGACTCACTAGCACCTAGAGCAGCAGCCTCAATACCAGGGTCAGGCGGAACACACACGTAACAGTCACCCTCAGCACTAATAGACACAGCATACATGGCAGCAAGAATAGCATCAAAGTCAAGATCAAAGATAGCTACCCCCGACCTGAGCAGATCTCCCCAACGAGGGATCTCAGTGGCGTCCGGGAACTGGGCACGCCAGGCGACCGAAGCAGCGCTGGGTGGCGTGCAGGCCGCCACACTGCTCTCCAGTGCGGTCACCGGTGCGCAGGACGTAAGTACAGGGACCAGCACCCCCAGACCCCTGGCGCCCCGCGTACCACTCACGAAGCTGCTGGGGCGAAGGGGTCTCATGAGAGCGCTGCTGCTGCTGGGGTCCCCGCTGCACAGCTCCGCCTCTGCCAGCTCCACCTCCGCCGCCGCCGCCTCCGCCTCCTCCATCCCTCCCGCCACCGCCACCGCCGCCTCCACCTCCACCGCCGCCACCGAAGCCCCCACCTCTACCACCACCCCCACCCCCACCCCCTCCTCCGCCTCCACCGCCACTACCGCCGCCCCCACCACCTCCTCCAGCTCCCTTGCCCCGCTTGCCCTTGCTGATGCGGCGCCTCTCACTAGGAGCAGACGCAGCGCTGACCGACTCGGTGCCAACAAGGTCGACAGCAGCAGCAGAGGCAACAGAGGGCAAAAGAGGAACGGGGGAGCACCCCTCAAAGAAAGGGGTACGGGGGTCACCACGAGAGGCGCCTACAGCGGTGATACTAGTCTCTGCTGCAAGGAGGCGCTCCTCGAGGAGGTCGACAGTGAGGGTGGTAAGGCAAAGAGAGAGGAAGTGGTCCCTGACCGAGCGGAGAGTGTCAGGGAGTCGAGTGACTAGGTAGTAGAGGGTGATGTACATGGGGGGGGGTTCTGGGCGCAGAACTCAGCAGGAAGCGCAGCGCGGTAGCGAGTGTCACTAGTGCGGAGGTGCGTAATGAGGTCAGTGACTGTGGCAAAAGCAGCGAGGTCAGGGAACAGGTACGGTAGCATGAGGCGGCTAAGCGCAGCAGTGGCAGGGGAAGAGTAGCGTGCAACTACTGCGTCGTACAGAGTCTTAGCACTCTTGTACTGACTAAAGTGCGCGCGCTCAGTAGACGGTAGGTGACTACGCACAGCAAGGCGGGCAGCAGCATCGCGCGTGAGCCACTGCGAGCGAACAGTACTGTCAGCATCAGCAGCAGGGGCAGTAGAGGCGCCCGACGTAAGATCAAACAGGGAGAGACCATCCTTGCTATCGCACTGAAGGAAAAGCTGCAGATCATCTAGCCAGACATCAAAGTCAACCGCTCGACCCTCAGCATCAAAGGTGAGAAGACTAGGACTAGCCATGATAGGAGCAGCAGCAGACTAGCAGCGGCAGCAGTGCAACTGAGCGAGGCAGGACAGTGCGACTCGGCAGGGCGACTCGGCAAAGCAGTGCGGCTCGGCCGCGCGGCTCGGCCCGGCTAGGCTCTTACCAGGGGCGGAGCTGACAGGTCCGGGACTGGGTCGGGGCCGTGACAGGGCCGGGACAGGGTCGGGGCCGAGCAGGGTCCGGGACGGGGCAGCAACGGGGCCGGGACAGGGTCAGGGCCGGGGCAGGTCCGGGACAGGGTCGGGGCCGAGCAGGGTCCAAGACGGGGCAGCAACGGGGCCGGGACAGGGTCGGGGCCGGGGCAGGTCCGGGACGGGGTCGGGGCCGGGGCAGGTCCGGGACGGGGCCGAGGTAGGGCCGGGACAGGGTCGGGGCCGGGGCAGGTCCGGGACGGGGTCGGGGCCAAGGCAGGTCCGGGACGGAGTCGAGGCCGGGGCAGGTCTGGGACGGGGCCGAGACGGGGCCGGGGTAGGGCCGGGACGGGGCCTTTTAGGGGCGGCGTAGGGGCCGCGTCAAGTACGGGGCCGGGTCGGGCCGTTTAGGGGCCGCGTAGGAGCCGCGTAGGGGCGGCGTAGGGGCCGCGTAGGGGCCGCGTCAGGGATGGGGCCGGGTCAGGCCGTGTAGGGGCGGCGTAGGGGCCGCTGAGGGGCCGCGTAGGGGGCCACGCAGGGGGCCGCGTAGGGGCCGGGTAGGGGCCGCGTAGGGGCCGCGTAGGGGCCGGGTAGGGGCCGCGTAGGGGCCGCGTAGGGGCCGCGTAGGGGCCGCGTAAGGGCCGCGTAGGGGCCGCGTAGGGGCCGGGTAGGGGCGGGGCCGCGTCAGGGACGGGGCCGCGTCAGGTACGGGGCCGCGACGGGGCCGTTTAGGGGCGGCGTAGGGATCGCGTAGGGGCCGCGTAGGGGCCGTTAGGGGCCGCTAGGGGGTCGCGAAAAAAAAAATTAGGGCAGGGCGCGAGACGCGCTTCGGGCAGCTAAAAAAAAAGTTGCTTATGGTGGGCCCTTAGGAAGGAACGGTCCCATGAGGGAACCCGCTCTATACCATGTGAAGAATTAAACAGGAATGAATGAACTAGGAAAGTGTGAGATACAAATATAAAACCTGTACCCCTTAGTGTCTACCCCACTACAGCCTATATAGGCTAAGGCATATACATTTGACAATTTTTGCGTATAAGTATTCGCTCATGCCTTCGCTCATATTTTGTTCTCGTTGAACACTCTAGTGCAATCCTCGCTACCTAGATTCATTGCACCCGTAACACTCCATCATTAATGGCTTAATTGGGAAGAAAGTGTCTACATAGTGGAGCTACTAGTGCGGATGACATTTCTCAACAACTTCACCACACGTCGTGCTTGCTGCTTGCTCTGCCACAATCTTGCAGTCAGAGTGGAGCTACTAGTGCGGATGACATTTCTCAACAACTTCACCACACGTCGTGCTTGCTGCTTGCTCTGCCACAATCTTGCAGTCAGAGGTGCCTACACCTGAAACCAGCCAATCAGGTATCACTCGTTTGTCGCGAGTCTCCTTTTTTCGTTGTGACAGTCGGCGCAAAACTCGAAATTTAGCACCAATGTTTCTGCTATGCTGGCTCAATGTTCCCTTCATTTTTCAGCTGAGTTGCGGAACAGTGATGTCGCATGAATATTTCTTCAAGGTGTTTCACGTCCCCCATGTCCCGACCTAGGCTAGTCGTAGGCTGCCGAATTCGATTTCTTCTGTAGGCTAGCTGGCTGCTGGTCACACCGCACTTGCGAGGGTCACAGGTTTTCCACGCCAGGTTTAATGTGAAATAAATATTTTCAAGGAGCAATTACATCGAAATACATATTTGGACCAGTTTTGTGATTTGGTGCGTATGCTTAAACTAGACCCTTCATTGGGTTTCCGAGTTTTGCTTTCTTCATGAGCGTATAGAATGACACTCAATGACATGGACCCTATTCTGTTCTCTTTTTGTAATGTCAGACCACCACCGCAGTGCGCCACCAACATCCAGCCAGCTTGTCCCCTCCTCGGTTTATCATGACCGAGTTGGAAAGACCTCCGCGTAAGACACCAACCAATTAAATAACGCAGGTGCACCACATGCGGTTGGGCAGGAGAGATGGAGGGCCTGAGTGCACCAATCCATACTCGAAGCGCGTTAGAAAAACGCGTCAACCAATGATGCGGAAAGCCGGAAACAGCTGGAAAGATAGACTTTTCTGATTGGCTTGCGTTCCCCACAACCCACGAAACAAGCTCCCCCTTTTCACACTCAATTCCCCCGCATTCCCGACAAGCGCAGCGCTCTCCCCTTCCTTCTTCCCCGAATCCCTCACCAGCTGTGCGCAGCCCTCACTCCAGCCCCCCCACCTTCCTCTATCCCGCCCCCCTGTCTGTCGGACTCCCTTCCCCATCACTCCACCCCACGGTTCCCATCATGCGTGGGGCTGGCTCGACTCTTGCGTTGCGTGTCGCAAAATCACTCCAAATACTCGCGTCTCCTCACTCATAAGCAACCCAGACTATCCAAGTTTCTTCAGACTGGAGCAGGCAGCGATCGTTCTCTTTCTCATTCTCTGTGCACGCTTAGTTGATAAGTTGCGATCTCCGTGTCGTACCATACGGCGTCGATCGTTGTCCAGGACCTTCACACCCCACCACATTTGCGCCATTCTCGTCCTTCACCAGCCTCCCATCCACTCAACCCGCCGTCTACCCCCCACCGTCACAATGACTGCATCGTACTGCACGTGTTCCGGGTGCTCTTACAATGCGAACGCGCCTGGAGAGCTTCCGACCCAGATTCTCGAGGTGAGTTTCCCTCGATCCACCTTCGATGCCTATCTTTTTCCCCGTGACACACCCTCTTCCAATCCACTCTCACTTCTCGTCCAACAGAAGGTCCTTGCTTTTCCGACGCATCCTCATTTTCCGCCTTTCTCTTCCGCAGGCCAATGGCTTCCCCTCGGAGCTCCTCCCCGCGCACGAGGTCGCGCATTGCGACGGCGCGATCACGGGGCCTTTCTCGATCAACCTCAAGCGTCCGATAGACGCCGTGATTGACGGCTATAACGTGCACTACGATCAGCACATAAGCGGAGTGGTCGAGCACGGTTGGATTCGGCAAGTCACGGGAATCAAAGTCTTCTATATGATGGCGTGGGTCCCGGTAGACACCGCACAGGTCGGCGCGTCTTGCGGCAATCGGCTCTACTTTTACGTCGGACGCCTCGTTTACAAAAGCGTGCTGCTCTCCGCGTTTCCCGGGCTGTGGGAAGGCAATGGCGCGAAGAGCGAGAAGCAGGCTGAGAAGCAGCAGAAGCAGAAGCAGCTTATGCAGGTCGATACTTCGTCAGACGAAGAGGACGAGGGAGAGGAGGAAGAGCGATGGGAAGACGCGCCGACGGACGGAAGCGAGCAGGAAGGTTCGGATATGAGCGATCAGGAAGCCGGGGAGCCGGAATTAGCGGTGGGTTTAGCGCTAGCAAAAGAGGCAGCGGCGGGAGCTTCTACGAGAAAAAGCTTCTTCCGGTTCAGAGCATAAAAACATGACAAATCGCCGGTACTAGTCGTCGCGTCGAACCTTTTGTTGAGCGTAAAACATGTGTAAGATACTTATAGAAATCCCAAAGGCAGCTGCGACGTGCAGCTGATTCCGCTGCTACGTCAGCAGGCTCAGGAAGGGAAGCAGCAGCATGGCCGTACCTTCTCGTCGACATGCAGTAGTAGCCGTTCGCTAACTTGAGTAACCACACACTGCTAGAGGGGGTCCTTTTTTCGTCCTCTTTTCTGCGAAGCCCGTACTCGCAGCTCATTCTTCGCCTCCTCGTGACTTCCGCTGAGCCCATCACCCGTCGCGTTTCACCCCGTCCTCTGCTCTACTCGGCTCTGCGCCGATCCTTTTGTGTGAAGCTCGTGGCAGTTCTTCGATATACCAAGACGCTCATGCAGAGATTGGAGGATGTCGATGGTTGGATTGGGTTAGTGATGGAGATATCAAAAGCAGACGAAGGCATGATCTGCGGGGTGACGGCACTCACGAGTCATGGGCACTAAGCCTTTCCACTTGCACACTGCCTCGGTTCTGATGAGGCACGTTTTGTTACAATGGTTGGTTACCAGTAACTGTTGCCCCTTGTGTTACTATCCACCTTGTCTGCTTGTGGGGCTAGATGCCCATGCCTCGTCAGTGCCAGCTTCATTTATTTGTTCTTTCTGTGCACTCAGTTCAAATTCAGCCCTTTCTTTTTCTGGGTTCCCATCCTAAGCAAGCATTCCCATTGTCAACGTAGAAAACGGCTAGCCTCTGTTGACTGAGCGCTAGGGTACCAATTCTGGAGAAGTTGTTTGAGATGAGAGTCTGAGACCTACCGTACCTGCTGTCAAACAATCAAGGTTGATGGAAAATTTACTGAGTTTCAATGGAGGACCTGCCACCCACAGCGGTACTTGAATTACATCTCGTTTTTTTACCATCAGCAGCACACTAGAAGCCCCTTGCGTGAAGACATAGTTCCAGGGATAGTGACTTCAGCAAAGCAGCACTGACCCACTGTCCATTCCATTTGCGAATTCATATGAAATAACGCGGACATTTATGTTCGGAACAGGTCCAATCTTACAACTTTCAGGTGAAAATGGGGACGACCACAAGGGATATACCGTATGAATTGACATTCACCAACTATCCATATGCAAGACATATGAGCAGTCTTGAACCATGAATATACGGATCAAAGTATATATGCGGATTGTTGTAGCAAGTTCTATATTTTTTATCCGTGGCGTGTGCTGGAAACCCTAATATCGAGTTGACAAGAACCTAGCGCAGTGAAAACATCAAAGCTGGAATTTTTTCTTGAAGTTTGTTAGATTTCATGTGATTGCGGTCGTTAATTCTGTTCAGATCGTAACCACACCTATTTCCTGTCTTCCACGGACCAAAACAAGAGAGTTTTCATTGTGCGAAGGGAAATCTTGATCCTTCGTATCCAATAAATAGGGATGTGATTCTCTGGTTTGTCTCATGTGCTGTTACTGAACTCACGACTTCACATCAAAATTTGTGTAGCTCAGAATTGTGCATTTAATACATACAAGAAAGTATACAGTTAGAGCTAACTATGTACGCAACTGAGGGCCTGCTACCTCAGAATTGTGCATTTAATTATAGTGTGGCCGTGCAAGTTTGATGGTTGATGGAGCAATAGCTCCCTCTTGATGGCCAGATGTACGTTTTGGAAAACCTTTCATACAATACAAAACCATTTCGTTTATCATGAACAATTACGTTGTTAGATTTGATGATCACTATAGACGTAACATGGATTTGGGTTGACAGCGATCCCCTCTTGAGTGCATTGGCTTGTTCCGCTCTCCGCCACCACGAGTTAAAGCCGGCGGCCCAAATTGTTCATGCTTTTAAAAGTTGACCGGAGGGAGTTTTTCTGGTGTGGGCTTTGGCGAGAGTTTCCGATTTCGTCTAGGTTCGTTTTTTTCGCGAGACCCAGCCAACCCTCGGTTTTCCCCCTGGTGAGTGAATCTGTCTTCGGAAGTCCCAAATTGCAAGTGCGTGACTTTCAAAAGCTTGGACACTCAACTTCGTCAAGTTTTAAAAACTTGACCCTCACGGCCCGCAATTTGGGACGCGGGCTTTAAGACTTCGGCAGGACAAATGATCGCAAGATCTGAACATTTCAAGGTTCGTACCATATTACGCCAAGACGAATTTGTCGCTATTCCAGCATCCATATGTGTTGTTCTCGTCTTATCCCTCCGCCTCCGCTCCTCATCATCATCCACTAGTTCTCCCCTCCCCACCGTGGTCCGTGTCCTCTCACTGCCCCCTCTCCCACCTTCGCTCCCGCTATCCTCCCACCAACCCTACCCTGTCCGCGTTGACAGGCCCTCCTCCCCCTACACTCTCCCCTCTTTCCCCCCTCCCGTGTTCCCTACTTTCCCCTCCCCTTGCCGCACACATCTCGCCTCTCCGAGTCTCCACCACCGCCACACATTCCCCTTCCCCCGACAACATCCCATGGCTGGGAAGGAGTCCCTGTCGTTTCAGCTACCGCTGCTGAACGGATTGTGCTGCTGAGTGCTCAGCTCACAATAAATGGTCTACCAAGCACTCATCTCCATCAACCATATTTTCTACTTCATCAGGCCACTTCAACCTTGTCCAGCTGGAAGCTGTATTCTCTCTCTAGCCTAACACCTTCATTCGGGACGGACGTTATTCCGTTTACGTACCATCATCGCGTTATCTGCCGCTACTGATTTATTCGACGAAATGGCTTCTACACGCCTTTCTTCCCACGAGATCAGACTGAGAACTGTCGATCTGCCGGCAGCAACGCCATCCAACCTTGGCGATCATCATACGACAGAGCGGCTGCGAGCCGTTTCCGTTTGTGCGACATCCTCGTCGACTCCATCCTCACCATCGTCGCATCCAATCGCAGACGTTCACACCGCCTCATCGCGCATCCCGCGCTCCGCATCGGCTGATCCAGTTTCCGGGAGAGACGGCAGCGGCTCCATTTCTTACCGCACGACAGGGAACTGCAGCGCCGCAGACGTAAACTGGCGCGCGAGGAGCGATCGGCGACTCGAGATGTGGAACCGCGCGACCAGATCCACCACTGCGACCACCACCAGTAGGAACCCCCCTATTGGAACTCCCGCAACTAACACCATTCCCCGCAACCCTTCAAGAATCGAGTCTGCTGGGACCCACTGCTGCTCGCATTGCTCGAGTCGGTGCCGCGCCGTTGCTTCAACCAGCCGCCGCTCGAGTTCGAGTTCCGATTCGGTGTTCGACTGGGCCGTTCGGGAGCGCATTGCTCTGCGCGCGAGCCGTGTTGCGGCAGTCGCCGCCGTAAAGGTTGCTTCATGAAACCCGTCGTGTATTGCGAGGTTGCGCCCCGCCGTTTCCTATCATTCATATGGCTATGTCGCCAGTTCAGTCACATAAACAGCGCTGCGTTATTACGCAGCGCGAGCGCTGCCCCATTGGCGGTTGTCCAGCTCCATACATGACTAGCGGCTTCTGTGGCGTGGAGACAAATTGTGCTCCATAGTCAACTTAGTGGTAGTCAAGGTGTATTGTGCTAATATTATGTACATAGTTCAACCTACCTTGATCAACAACCGTAATGTCAAGGACAACGGGAATGCACAAATTCAAACCCTATTTCCTAATTCGCACGTTGGCTGGACCGCCTAAAGAGACCTCTTGGCTTCTGCATAAACCAGAGCATTGGGAGGGAGGGAAATGACAGGGCAGTGGTGCCACCCTGTTACCGCATGACGCCAGCATTATTAGAGAATGGGAACAGAGAACAAAAAACAGGCTGCTTTCTCAATGTCTCTCCACTCCAGTTTCATACCTTAGGGCGAGCTTTGGATTCGAGTGCAACACTCAGGTCTCGCTCCAAATCAGATATGCTTGATCGCACCTGCATGACATCATAAACAAAAGACATTTCGACAACTCATTTCCATGTAGAGACAACATGCGAAACCCAGAATTCGTGTTTCGAAATGCACTAAAGCACCGAGAGCAGTCTCTGCAAAGACTGCTGCATAAGCTGCACCCACCTGCACCAAAGCCTGAGTGAGCCCATGGGTCTCCTGCCTGATATCCGCCCTCACAGCAACAGCCTTCCCCTCCTCCTCCTCCACCTCTCCCTGCATCTGCTGCTCCTCCCTCTGCAGCTTCTCCCTCTCCCTCTCCGCCTGCTCCCTCTGCTGCTGCAGCGCCCTGCCTCGTGACATCAGCTGCTGTGCATGGCTTGCGAGCAGCTGAGAGAGGGAATACCAGGGGGAATACGAGACATTGAACGTGATGGTTTTGCATAGGAGTAAGGGTGTAGGAAAGAGGATTGATAGGGAAGCGAAGGATATGAACTCTTGGGACGAAAACAATGTGTAAGAATGTTACCAGATGCATCCTGTCAGAATGTTGCAGAAATTGGGCGTCTTACCTGTTTCTGCCATGTCAGCACTGCTACAGTGAAGGAGGGCGGCCAGAGGGAGGTGGATGACGCAGCATCTGCCACCGGCTCTGACCGACGTGGATGGCACATGGGATGGAGGAAGGGACGATGAGATGGGCGGAGGGGGGGAGGATGGCACATGGGATGATTAGGTGGGTGACGGGATGGGGATGGGATGGGGAGGTGAAGGGGGGATAAGATGGGTTATGGGGTGAGGGATGGGGGATGGGACAAGGATGGAAAACTAGACACATGCAAGTTTCCAGGGAGGGTACCACATAACGATTGTAATGAGAAGTTACCAGAAAGCTTCTCAGGCTGAATCAGACCAACAAGGAGTTTAACCTCCTCGCCTCCTCTCTCCCCTCCTCCACTTCCTTCCCCCCCTCCTTTCCCAGACCCCCCCAACCCCCACCCCCTGGCTGCTACGTAAGCTGCCACTGCCTCATAGAGAGCATCGTGCGAGGGGCGGCAGACGAGAGGCAGTGCGGTTGCAAGGGATATGAAGGAGTCGGGGCTGATGCTGCTGCTGTTGGGAGAGGTGGAGATGGCCTGAAACAGGGAGGGTAGTAACGAGATGGAAAACAAGAGACGAGCATGATACCAGGAACGTAGGAACGTTGCACTTGAAGAGAAGACGGAAATGGCTGGCTGGAAAGAGCTTGATTTAACCATTCAGGAAAGTGGAGGAGGGGGAGGGAGGGGGCGTGGGGGTGTTGGGGTATGAGTACAGCAATGGAATCAGCAAAACTTGTGCTGCATAAAGGCATGCTCTTATGCTGGAAGAGTAATGCCGGTATAGTGTCGCACCTTCAAGTAACTGTCCACGATAGATGCAGCCTGAGAGAGGCTGGCAGCGCCTGCGCCTTCCACAGCTGCAGCAGAGGAGCCAGTCGGCGGAGTGATTGCCGCAGCAGCAGCGTTTGTATCAGGCGTGTTTGAAGTGAAGATTGTGAGGAGAGCGAGGATCTCGGATGGAGGAAGCGGAAGCAGGTGATCGACTTGGCACTCGGTGATCCGACGGCCGATCATGCTGCACAGGAGGGCAGTGCAGGGGAGGTCAAAGGAGAGAGGGTCAGCAGCTAGAGAGCCATAGAAAATGAAGCAAGGACCTTATAATGTGCTGACCCAAGTGAAATTGGCATCGGACCAGAACACAGGAAACGCCTTACGTTTGCAGGTGCGACTTGGCAGATTCGCTGGCATCGACCTCAGGGCAGAGGCGCAGCAGTCGCACCAGCAGCTGAATGGACGGCAGCCCCCCAGCCCCTTTAGCAGCCTGCCCTGTTGCGGAGGACCCAGCTGAAAGTGCAAAGAGCAGCGCGACTGCTGCTTCCAGGATGGGTTTCCACGTGGACGTAGTTTGGGCGTCTGCTGACGTGGCTGTGGATGACGTGGACGTGGATGAGACGTCCTGGTTGACGGAAGGAGGGGGGGAACAGAAGTTTGGAAAATCAAGGGAGAGAAGAGAAGTATCTCTTGAATTACCACCACATTTGCTAACGCGCGGGCAGAAAGCAAGCGCGAACAGGCCTCTGGAAATGACTGACTGGTCACTGAAAATGTCGAAGCGACCACGAGTGACTGACTCGGTCGGTATTGACCCAGTGAGTGACTGACTAACATGCATTGATGTCATTGACGACATGGGAACTGACCACAGGGAAAGGTAGCCACGTGTTGCAGTAGGCCTCGAGCAGAGCACAGAGATGCAGTGCACTCATGCCCATGGTGCTGATGAATGGGAACAACAAAGATAACCAATGGAAGGACGGATGGGGAGAGGAAAAGAAGAGAAGCAAGGAAAAAGAGAGGATGCAGTGGAGACTTCAACCCTAACAAAGGCCATACATGCACAACAATTGTACCCTCAGGTTGGATGGGTGGGGGAATTGTTGGGCCAAGAGTGGTGTGGGGAGAGGAATGGTGTGGCTTTCTGGAGTTCCTACCGATCTTGGCACAGCTCACCTCACAGCAGCGTGCAGCTGGACGAACGTGGGGAGGGACAGCTGCAGCAGCTGGGGTGACAGCCACAGGGGGCCAGGGCCAGCCGAGTCCGCTTTCCCTCCGCTTCACTTGCAGCTCCATCTGCAACCTTATCCTTGGCCTTCTCTTCCCTGCCTGCCTTATCTGTTTCAACAGCAGCAGCATCAGAACCGTCATAAGCGTCGTCACCTTTCCCCGCTTCTTTCACTACCAATCGTGCGACTGCGTTCACGGTGGTCAGCAGCAGCCCTGCTGACTCAGCACTCGCCCGAATCGCTGAGCTGGCATCACACGATTGGAGCACGGTGAGAGCAGCCCGGGGGTGAGACAGATACGAGGTGAGGTGGCGAGAAGCAAGGGAAAGCAGGTTACAGTCATAGGGACCACCGCACATGGCAGCTCGGGGGTCATCTCTCATATCCAGGTAAATCGCTGCACAGTAGAGAGCTGTGACGTTATCAGGGGTGATTGTAATGGGAACGCCGTAGCAGAAGCATGCGACGAGTTTGAATGTCTCGATTCCGCCTGGGTGGTTGGAGAGGCCAAGACGAGCTCGCTTCCCATTGGCGGAGCTCTCTGGGTCTCCAGAATTCCGCCTGGAGCTGCTCTTCTCCTCCTCCACAGCATGCTTGGAGAAATAGTCAGTCTGACAAGGACACAAAAAGATAAAATGAAGGCTCAACGACAGAAATGATGAAAATAAAGAAGTTCAAATATATTTGCGGTCAAGCTAAAGATGCACACTCTACCGAGGTTCACTCTGACAAGGGTAGGAGGTCCCTCTACCTTGGAATAGAGGGGGAATTTGTGAAGTTGGTAGTTGACTGTAGCGCCAAACGTGATGGTGAAGTCACTGCGCATGCCGGCCGCTTTGAGGTACACCTGATCCATGCCTCCATATACGTCCACGTTGAGATCCAATAACGAGGATGAATCAATTGATGACGGAACGGGTGCTGCAGCACCTGCACCAGATTCTGATCCCGAAATTGAAATAGAGAAACCTCCTGCTGTTAACGAGGATGCTACAGTAGAGGATGCTGAGGAATTAACGCTGAGAGGAGTTGCTGGTGAATCTGCTGCTCCAGTTGGGAATGACTGTCCATGAGAAGGCGGCGGGGTAGGTGGAGCTTCAGCGTCCATCAGCGATATCAGTTCGCCAGTCTTGGCCTTCATTTCTCCTAATGGTACCCCCTTATCTGCTGCTGCATGAACTGTTGCTGTTGAAGTTGCTGTAGCACCTGATGCTTTCTTTCTCTGCAGTTTACTGGCTTCCATCTCAGAGACACTGCTTGGCTTATCTGAAAAGGAAGCTGCACCTTCCGACTTGGCGAACTTATGGCAAACGTCTGAGCGTGAATTCTCCAGAGGGGTTTCTTGCGATTTCGCTTGCAGTGTCTGTCCTCGTCGCCTTACCGGTCCCATGAACCAAACCAACGCTCTCTTGAGAAGCTCCTTTCGGTTTTCCTGAATACGAGGATGTCAATCCACTACGCGAGTAACTCCTCCAGGGTGTAAACTGAAAGACCTTGACGAGGAGCACACTACGCTGAGTCAGCAACTGTGACCAGAAAGGCTGAACGTGTTGGATTGCTCGAATGACAAACAAACCAAGTCTAGCAGGTAACAAGCTCCTCCTTCTGTGAAATGTGAAATGGATGACGGTAATTGCCCATTTTTTAGGTGACCTGCGAACGTCTGCCGTCCTGAAAAACGTTGATACTGGAGTTTCGGTTCTGCATTGGAAACGGCGAACAAACACTCGTCCGTGATATTGGAAACGTCAGATGGTAAGGCTGACGGAATAAACTCATGACCAGCTTGCCTCGAATACGACACCAGCTCCGTGAAAGCAGAAAACAGGATAAGAAAATCTTGTCAACAGGTGAGAACTTCGAGGCTGCACTGAAACTGAAATTTGGCTGAAATTTCGCCATTCGCGGAGTAACAACGACGTTATTCAGAGCAATGTCGCAAATTGATCGATATTTCCAACGCCACGTTGACGCACTAAGCTATTCCAGTAACACCAGCACCAGTAGCAGCAGGGAAAATGGGGTGAAGGTGGAGGTGCTCACGCGTTGACAAGCTTATCCCTCACCTCGAGCACGTCAAGCCCAGAATATGCATTGCGGTTGGAAACGTTTATTCCAGATAACAGGATGGTTGAGTAGGGTTTCGAGAAAAACTGAATTGAGCTCTGGGGCAATGACGTCAACGTGACGCCGTCTGTTCTTCTGCGCTCGTGAGGAGAAAGCAGGAGCGGTACTTCTAACGTTAAAGTACGGTGAATATTGTCATGACCCTGTTCCAACTATCTCGTATTAATTTCATAATAAGGTGAATGTCTGAAAACTGTGATATTCATTCTAAGATGAACCTGTCTACAAAGCTTTTTCCAACCCTAACCCTATACCTCTACGGCTGCAAACAACACAGAAGGCCACCTTGCGCATGCTCTTTCACAAAGCCAGTGTGCATGCACTATCATGCAAGAAGTAGCTGGACATGAACGGAGCTTATTCGACCACCTACCTACTCACACGAAAACAACTCTCTCCTGCATCCCCAAGCACCAATTCAGGCGAAGATCCCCAATGATAAAGGGAAGTCAACAGCGGGATTTCCTTTCCACCGTTCCCGGCCAGACCAACATTCTCATAATTCGCTTCAAGCATTTGTCGACTCTTCTACAGTGATCTTGGCGACACCTGTCGCCACACTTGCCAAATCCTCATAGCTGTTTCCACCTGGAGTCCGTGACTTGAGGTTCCTGTGGGACTGGCTGCGCACAATGTCCCTCAGAATGTCCTCCTTGGACTGCTCCTCCTCCGTGGGCATGGATGCTGTGCGCTCTGGAGGCTCCACCTTCTCCCCCTTGTACTCCGCGTATGCCGCAGCCAGCTGATCAACCTGCAGGCAAAGAGAGAGATAGCGGGGAAAGGGACAGGATCGGGATGTGGGTGGTTAAGAAACTTATGGCAAATCATCACAGCTGAATGTCCTCCTTCGACTGCACTTCGTCTGATGGCATGGATGCTGTGCGCTCTGGAGGCTCCACCTTCTCCTCCTCGTACTCTGCGAATGCCGCAGCCAGCTGATCAACCTGGAGGCGACGCGAGAGAAAGAGGGGAAATGGGAGTGTTATTTGAGTACTCTTTAGAGGCACCTTAAATGGGGGTGATATATGGACAGGGTTGGAAGTCGGGGTGTGAGTGAGATGAAACATCGATGAAGGAGGGATGAAACGAGGGAAACAGGAAGGGAGGGATGGGTAAGGCAGCAATCCAGGGATGCAACCAGAACAGGAGGGGGGGTCAGGGGGGGTGGTTATGGGGATGAAGGGCTGACTGAAGAATGCTGGGAAAGGAGCAGTAGGGAAGAGTCAGCAGGGAAGAGTCAGCAGGGAAGAGTCAGCAGGGAAGAGTCGGCAGGGAAGAGTCAGCAGGGAAGAGTCGGCAGGGAAGAGTCAGCAGGGAAGAGTCAACAGGGAAGAGTCAGCAGGGAAGAGTCAGAAGCAGAGCTCACCTCTCGTCGAGCGCGGGTGCCGGGAATGGCGCGCAAGCGATTGAGTGTTCTGGTGTCAATGTGTGTGAGCACGTGGTCCCTGTGAAGGGGGTAGAGGCGGAAGAAGCGTAAGATGCGGAGGGAGGGGAGGTGGTGGGGTTGGAGGGTGGGAGAAGAAGTAGGGGCAGTAAGCGAGAGTCCACAGTTTCCGTTTGACACACACAGCAATGCACAGGAGAACACACAAGAACGCATCAGGTGCTACGCCTGCTGGCACTGTAAACAACAACAGCGATTGGCGAATAGTGGTTCTCTGATTCTCTGTCAGAGCCGTCACCACCAGTGCTGCCACCAGACACTCCCAGTGAAAGCACACAAACCCCTTGCATACACACGCACACAACAGCCCCATCCCATTCTCCACCACTTACTGGGTGCTAGGGCGGCTAGCCAGGAAAACAAGTACAGCAATGGGTACGTAGTGGTTCTCTGCCTGTGCCACCACCACCAGCGCTGCCACGAGCGCCTCACAGTGAAAGCACAGAAAACCCTTGCACATGTATGCACATACAGCAACACACAACCCCTTGCACATGCATGCACATACAGCAACACACAACCCCTTGCACATGCATGCACATACAGCAACACACAACCCCTTGCACATGTATGCACAAACAGCAACACACAACCCCTTGCACATGCATGCACATACAGCAACACACAACCCCTTGCACATGTATGCACATACAGCAACACACAACCCCTTGCACATGCATGCACATACAGCAACACACAACCGCCCCATCCCCTCCCCCACCACTTACCGGGTGCTAGGCCTGCTGGCGAGGCGAACCAGGACTGCAATGGGAGCGTAGTGGTTCTCTGCCTGTGCCGCCACCACCAGCGCTGCCACTAGCGCCTCACAGTCCACCTGGTTGGCTGTGAAGGCCTTGGCACAGTCCTCTGACTCGCACAAATGCAGCACGAAATACACCACGCTCTGATGGGGCGAGTGGTTGGATGGGGGTGAGTGGAGTGAGCGGAGGGCACGAGTTTGAGCGGGAAAGAGGCAGTTCCCTCACAGTCGCGAATCTGTCTAGTCTGGTTGGCTGTGAAGGTCCTGGCACAGTCCTTGGAGAAAATTGTGTTGGGGCAGGGATGAGTGAGTTAGGAGGGGGGGAGGAGGGAGTGTGGTGTGGGGATAACGTCATGACTCGAAGCATCGTCCATCCACTGTACTCCTTTCCCATCTTTCTCACCTCGCCTCCCTCCTCTCTCATCCTTTCCCAATCCCTTCCCGTCATTTCCCCATCACCCCTCCCCTAATTCCCCCCTTCCCACTTCCCTCATCCCCCCTCCCCAGCCCCCCTCATCCCCCCCTCCCCCCCTTCCCCCCTCCCCCCTCCCCTCTCTCCCTGCTTCCTCCTCCCCTCACCTGGTGTGCCAGGCTGTCAGTGTCATCCACGTGGCCAATCAGAATATGCGTGAGCTCCAGCTGCTGCGTCAGCAGTCCGGCGTACAGCTGGAGCATGCTGGCCCGCGTGGCAGCATCAGGGTTGATGGTTGACGTCACCAGCGCCAGGCTGACGTCTTGGTGGTTATCCACCAGGTCAGGTGAGCCGAGCACCCTCAGCAGGTGGGCTGCTACCACCGGGCGCAGCTGGGGAAGAAAGCAGGGATGAGGAGGGCGTTAGAACAGGGGAGGGGAAGAGGACAGGAACGCTGAGAACAAGACCTGGCGTGAATAATGTCTGACAATCCGAGCACCCCCAGCAGGTGCGCTGCTACCACTGGACGCAGCTGGTGGGAAAAAAGAACGAGGAGGGGGATCGGAACAGCAAAGGGGGACGAAGACGGGAATGTGGTGAACGAGACATGGCGTGAGTCACCACGCTAGTCTGACGTTCTGGTGGTTATCCACCATGTCTGGTTACCCGAGATTTACCACACTCTCCTTGACACCTTGAGGGAGCACCAGGTAGCTTATATCCGTACCTCTGGGTTGGGAGCGCGTATCCCTGCGGTGACAGCAAGAGAGCCATGAGAGCGGCGTCAGCCTGCACCACAGCCTCCTCCACACCCAACTCCTACCTCAGCCGCTCTATCTCTTCGCTCTCTTCTCATTTCCCTCCCTTCCAGATAACTGTACTTTCACACGAGCAAAGAGGAAGAACATTTTCGGTCGAATTCTTTTCTCATTGGCTTTGTTTTTCGCCCTCTCTTTTCTTTCTTCTCTACTTCACCCGCGCTCACCTCAGGGTTGGACAGAGCGTAGCCTTTGGGTGAGAGCCAGAGAGCCATAAGCGCGGCGTCAGCCTGCACGACCGCCTCCTCCACGCCCGACTCCTGCCTCAGCCGCTCCAGTGCGCCCATCACCTCGGCAGTCAACACCTACACTCTAATCAACAACCCATACCCGTACCTCGGGGTTGGAGAGCGCGTATCCCTTCGGTGACAGCCAGAGCGCCATGAGCGCGGCGTCAGCCTGCACCACGGCCTCTTCCACGCCCGACTCCTGCCGGAGCTGCTCCAGCGCGCTCATCACCCTGGGCACGTGGTGCACGATCAGATCCGCTGCTCCGTTCGTGGCCATCACTAGCACCGCCTTGCACGCCTGCATGTGGATCAACGACTCTGTCAAGTCGCCCTCCTTGCTGCTGCCCTCGCTGCCGCCTCCCTCCTGCTGCTCTACCGCTGCTGATGTAGCCGCCTCTGCGCCTGCTGCTTTGGCTGCCTCTGCGTCTGCAGCAGCTGTGCCGTTTGCCAAGGCGGGTTCCGTGGCCTCTGTCTCACGCTCCCCTACCCCATTCTCAGCGACATTCTGAACAGCACCATCACCACCAGCACCAGCAGTGCCAGCAGCTTTATTCCCACCAGCATCCTTATCACCCAACCCATCAGCATCCTTCGCACCACCAGCACCCGCGGCTTTTACCGGAGCGATCAGATCAATCAGCCGCTCCAGAAGACGCTTGGGAACCGCAGCGGATTGGTTCATGGGCCACGTGGACGGATGCAGCACCTCGGAGACCGCCCGGCAGACCTGGAAGTAGAGGAGGGGGTTGGAGACGCGCGGGAGCAGTCAGTAGCGGACAGGTGGACAGGTGGACAGGTGGACCAAAACATCAACTTAGAATAAGATCAAAACCTCGGAGACGGCCCTGCGCACCTGGAAGTAGAGCAGGCGGTTGGAGACGCGCGGGAGCAGCAGCGCGGGCTGAAGGCACTGGAAGATCTCCTGCGCGCGCGTGCTGCACACGATGGTGCTGCGCGGGTTGTTCATTAAGTCCGCCAGACAGCTCGCCATGGATACCAGCAGCGCCTCGCTCACCGCCTCCGCCGCCGCCGACTCCCCTGCTCCCCCCGCCCCCAATGTTTCTCCTCCAGCTGCTGCTGTGTCTGTTTCGGCAGCGTCAGCTTGTGTGCTGCTCTTCCGCCTCTTGATGTCGCTCGCTGCCTTGCACCGCTCTGAGGAGGGGAAGGGAGGGGAGGGGAGGGGAGGGGAGGGGGAGGAGCGCGGGGAGGAGAAGGGGGCGGGGAGAGAGAAAGGCGGAGGGGCAGAGGGAGGGGTAGAGGGTGGGGTGGGGAGGGGGGTGGGGAGAGCAGTGGAAAAGGGTAGAGAGAGAAAAAAGGAAGATAAGCCGGATATCCTCATAACGTCCCGCACTGCAAACCTGCAGGGCTAGAAAGTGTAGTATGCTGGCAGTCACACCACACCACGTGACTCACTGAGTATACTGCACCTCACCTCACTGAGTACATCGGCCCCCGCGCATCAAATGCAGGTTCCTCGTCTCACAACGTTTGCTGCCTTCGGTACACTCACCCGAAGAGGCAAAAACATACCATTCACAGATAACATAGCATCCGCACTGATAACTCACTGAGCACGCCGCAGCACGTGGAGACCCATCGGTCCACATGCATGAGGTGAGGATTCTTCTTGTCGTCCGCTGCCGTCATCGCCAGCAGTTGCGCTGCCGCCTCCGCCACTGCTTTGTCCTCCGCACCTTCCGCAACCACCAGGTCCATCAGCTGCGGGGGGGAGAGGGGAAATTGGGACGCGGATCGGGATGAGGGGGGGATTGGGGGAGGAAAGGGGGAAGAGCGATTGCCACAATTGCCTGCTATGTTCCTCGTACCGTTCGTTTCTTCAGCGATTTTCTTACTGCTAATCTATTATAAGGTGCCGCAGTTCTTTTACCATGTTATCAAAGCCATCAGGTTCACCTTCACACACATTTAGCGGCTCCCTCGAGCGACGCTGCGATCCAGTGAAAAGTACGGCGAGGTTCGAGATTTCGAAAGTCGCTGAACCTGAGCATTTCACAGAGCAATCAGGCTCTCATTCACACCTGTTCGGCCGCCTCCTTTTGTGATGCTGTAATGGAGTCAGGCCCTTGCTCCACGGCTAGTTGCGCCATTGCGTGTGCGATCTGAGAAATGACGGAAAAGAATTGTCAGTCATGAGACTGTTTATCATTGGAAAGCATAGCCAACAAAATCCGAATGCTGGTAAACGATATTAGACACGAAACGTAACACGCGCAATTGAGAAATCCATGAAGGAAAGCATCTGGAACACGTAAGAGGTTGGAAGGCCGGGACGTAAGAACGAGTTGCGAACCTTCGGATGATCTTTGGCGCGAGAAAGTGGGTTATCCGTTTGCGTGAATCCCAAACACGCGATGACATCCTCCATTGGTATCGACATGTTCGCACGCGTCGCACCAAACGCTGTTGCTTAGAAACACGTTACTGCAAGTCCCGATATCTAAGGCTGAATGAATTGAGCTACTGGTGCTGAGGAATAAAGAAGTGACCTAATGACCGTCAATGGAGTCACCAATGCCTGATCCTACTATTACACAGGCGGCAAAAAATAAGTTCACCACTGTGTTTGGAAAGATGATGCAGCGTTACTAGAAACGGGTCAGGCAATCAAGACCAGCAGATGAGCAAGGACCGCGGATGAACAACTACTTGCGTGAAAAGAACATGTCTTAAAGCCGGCAGCCCAAATTGTTCATCCTTTAAAAAGTTGACGAGAGGGAGCTTTTCTGGTTTGGGGTTGGGCGAGTGTTTCAGATTTCGTCAAATTCGTATTTTTCGCCAAACCCAGCCAGCCCCCGGATCCCCCCCCGGTGGGTGGAGTCACACTTCGAAAGTCCCAAATTGCAGGTGCGCTACTTTCAAAACTTGCACACTCCTCTTCGTCAAGTTTTAAAAACTTGACCCGCGCGGCCCGCAATTTGGGACACGGGCTTTAAGTCTCCTCTTTAGTGCCTTGCATTTGTACATGTCACTTACTCACAGAATGCAAATGCTGCTCCCCTGAACTGAATCCTTGACTTGGCTGCCACAAACAAATGAATGGTTTGCAACGCAAGTGTGGAGGGGACAAGCGAACCAAAACCGAGGGGACAGGGAGGTTGAAGCGCGGGAATCGGGGAGAATTTTGATGTGAGATGGATGGCTGGAAGTGGGTCATCGGGGTATGTGCGTATCGCAATCAATGGACCACGATCGCCACTCTGAGGGAGATTCGAGAGATCGAACGGACTGTTGCGGGGCGGGGTGGTCGATGGGAGCCACCTGGAAAGTAGCTGACGGGCAGAAATGGAACCTCACCCAGGTCTACAGTGTTCCATCCATGTGTCGCTTGGGCGCCTAAGAACTTCCAAATCAGTCTCGATTTTTGCGGGGCAGAAAGGGCAGGCCCTGCCTTATCAGTGGAGTTGTTGAGCTGATGTGGATCCCGCAAATCATAACTCCCTCAGCGAACAAGCAGCTGGCAGTAGTCAAGCTGAATGCACGATACGGATGCAGCCACGCCAGCATTAGTTCTCAAGTGTCACCTGGGACCATCACGTACTCGTTCCACTTGGTTGGCAGTAGAACAAGAACACATGTCAGCTGCCCGCGAGAGGGATCTGCTGTGAGATGACCTCACCTCGTCTCACCTCACCCCACCTCACCTCACCTTCCACCAAGGGCATACGACAAGGGGGGACGGTGGAGACTGGCTACCAATGAGAACTGTCACTTCAATCAAATGCTGCCATCCTCTCGATACCCGGTATGCAGTCACCGGTACGGTAAATTAGAGCGTAGAAGCACGGACCAGGAACGGGCTGTGCAACGAATTCTCATAGTGCTAGATGGTTGGCCAATGGCCAATGATAAAAGAGCATTAATGACATGACATTTATCCTTTGTCTCCGCCATGAGGTCGCGTTATGACGATGCAACATTTGTTGGAAACATCTCAGCCCAACAACATTGACGGACCTATCCTGATGGGCAGCACTACCCCTAGTTGGGAAGGCAAGCCAAGCCGCGTGTCAAGCATTACACATCGGAGAACTGCAACATTACTCAGACTTGTTTGCCAATGTGGAATTTTTGTATAGAACACTATTGCAACAATCCTCACGGTCACTCCATCCGACCATGTTGCAATGTCTAGGGAGCAGGCCCCTAGATTCGTTTTGAGGTAGTCTGAGGCCTCAGAGTACACCCCTCCTGGAACTCTGTCTGTCAGAGGTGCCTCTGAAAATTCAGACAAGCACAAATTTTTTTGTCTGAACTGTCAGAGTTACTTCAAGTTTTAAGATGTTCATGCAGTTTCGTAAAAGCAGTTATAATAGCATTGAGGCTGATTACAGCCTACCATACCAACGCATCAGGCAACGTGCTCGTGCTCGTGCATCGCCTCTGCTCATGTCGGCAGCGTTCCAGTGTTTTTGTCACGTGCAGCGCATGGTTGTTTCTGCTCTGCTGATCTCATTTCGTTTTGTCGTGTGTGTGATTACCGTTCTGTACCCATTTTCTCGCATGTGTGCCGATTTTGTCAGTTTTGGATTTGCTTTTCAAGCGATTCGATCGTTCACCCGATCTGTATCAGGTGGGCCAAGTGCCACGCAGCTGAGCTGGCAGCAGGCAGATTTGTTGCTTGGCGTGGCATGTGAGGATCAGACAAGTGCCACACGAAACTTTCAGTACGAATCAGGAACTTCGCAATGCACACCAGTGCGTGCTGCAGATGTTTTTACAGCGAATCAGCATCAAAGTCGCCTATTCTTTACAATACATTAGCGATAACTTACATGTGACGAGATTTTGTCTTCAGAAATCTCGTAATCACGCAACCATTTCCTCAGCGAAACTGGAAGATATTCTCGACGAACAAGTGTATTTGGATGTCCCAGCTGTCGAAGTGAGCGTTGCTCACGTCCTGGCACTCCACTGCCATCTCGGAAGTGGGCATATCGGAAGGAAACTTCCAGGAAACTTTCCTCCGATAAGCGCGCAGAGTGTACCCCCGATACAAGTCTGAGGCTCAGCCTACCCTAGTAAAATTAGGCTGAAATTTCAGACAACTCATAAGAAAAAACTCTGGAAAATCAGACAAGGTACATAAATAAATTCTTGGAGTTCAGACTAGGTACAAAAAAAGTCTGAACGGACTCTGATTCAGACTCCAAAGTCTGATATATAGGGCACTGCTAGGGAGCTATTATGCCGGTTCCAACAAAACAAACCACCAGACCACTCATCTAAAGGCACTAGGACAAATTCCTACACTTGCATCTTTATTGCCTCCGTGCCTTATTTACAGACCTACATCAACCCACGAGTTTTGCACCCTTGACAAGCTCTTGTGCTTCTGCATCCTCCGACCTCTTGTGCGTGCAGCACCTTCTGGTTTCACATTCCCTCTCGCAATCTCAAAACGTTGGCATAGCATAGCCACACATCCAGCACCCATGGCAGAACTCATGCCCTTTCCGAAAACATTCCCATGGCAGCAGTAGTATCCAATCCAAGGCCTCTGCTACGATACACCAGAAGGGGGAATAAAGACCACGGCAGATGGAGACGGGGCCACCGGAACAGATTCAAGAACGCGGCCATCTACCCCGGGAGGAGTCGCAGCTTCTCTCAACCACAATGACCTCAGTCTAACCCACAAAGAGGGTAACTCTCGCCCAGGGCTTGGCGCGGACTGCTGCTCTACTGGAACCCTATCTGCATTCTCTGGCACTAGAATCGCCAAAGACTCCCCTCCTCCTACCCCTCGACCCCCTTCCGCCACCGCTTGCTGCTCTAAATCCCCTCTGCCGGCTTCCAGACCCGCTACCCCTCCCCCAATGCTGCTCTCCCCTTGCTCCCCCCTCTCGCTTTGCTCTCCCCTATCCCCCGCTACCCCGCCTCCTGAATCTCCTTCCTTGACTTCAGCACTTGGACCGATGTCTCGGCGGCATATCGGGCAGGTCGTTTTTCCTTGAAGCCACGTGTCAATGCAGTCCACGTGGAACACCACGGGGAAGCAGTTTCAGCATGTCCGCGGAAACGTACTCCGCCAAGCACACCGCGCACTCGCGGAATCCCCCTCCGTCCCCCCAGTTCGGTACCGCCTTCCCGCCCTCCAAATTCCCTCTTCCTTCCTCTCCCGGTATTCCCCACTTTACACCGCCATTCGCCACGAATTTACCGCTCCCCGTCGTTTCCGGGGAGAACATGAACGTGGGGAAAGAATTAACGAGCGCGTCTTCCAGTCCCCGCGTTCCCGGCCTCCCGCGTGAGGCGCCGCCATTTTCGAGCGCCACATTCGCCCGGCGACGGCGGGAGAAGGCTCGGTTTCGCACGAAGGAGAAACAGAAGATGGCGGAGACGAGGACGAGGAGGAGTGCGGAGACGGTGACGATGATGCTCGTCGATGACGCGTCAAGACCATAGTTCCGGTTTATGTTGGCAGAAGCGGACGACATTCTCACTGGTTATCCGGATTCCAGACGAGATTTCGCTAATGGAGTGATTCTTTATGTAAGAACGTCGACAGGCAATTCCCGCCGAGTCCAGAAATTAGCCAGGCGTTAGTCACGCGTCGCCGAGAGAAATGGCGAGATTCAATGAAATCGATGTGGGAACTGCAGAGCAGCGCATACATAATCGCCGCAGTGGGAATGCAAGCAACCAGAAAGCTTGCACTAAGGACTCAAGTAGGTGGAACAAAAAAAGTCAGAGAAGAAGTCCTGGCTACAGCGTCAAGACAAACTGCCGTAAAAATGGGGCACCCACGGGGCGGGGGTGTATGTGTGGCTGGAAGCAGTTGAGCGGCTGGTGTAGTCTGTGGCCCGGGTGGGTTGCGCAATACCGCTTTGGAACGCAACCCACCGTACAAAACTGATGTGGTTTGGAAACGAACACCCAGTTTCGTTGTGACTCGTTACTAGCTGGTAGAGCATGCATATTGTATCATGCTTGATCTATGCATTGAGTTTCACATCTCATGAGTACGAGAATTTCCAGCTTACTGGGTTTACCAAAGTAGAAACCTAAATACATATTACGAGCAACTAGCAACAAGACGTTGCCCACTACGAGCGTTAACATTACAGGTGAGACAAATCACCAACTTCCAAAACCGGACTCAGACCCAGTCTTTGCGGCTGCTGCTTCCGTTGCGGCATTGTGAGAAGGTGCTCAGGAACCCGAAAGTAGCACCATGGGAATTTCATATAGCTGCTTCCCAGAAACGTTCTCATTCTATTGACTATACATCAGCCACGACTCAGCCATAAATGAAGAGGCTGCATGGCTGCTCCCCTGCACCAACTCCTTGGCGATACTATTCCCTGCTCAACAAAGACAGTGTCGATAGTATCTGCAAGCGCCTTCTTGGTTGGCTGCAGGTACACCTCTTTCGTGAAACAATTCATCCGCTGGTCAATCTGCACCGCAGGTTCTCCCACTCAGCTTCCTTGAATCAACGAAAATCCCCATCTTGTGTCGAGTCAAGGTCTCAAATTTCGATCAGCATCCTGCTCCAAAGGTTCGCCGAAGCCCGCAGTTTGGGAAGGGTGAACTAACGGCGTAGATGTGGACGAAATCCGCTCGAGCGAAATCGTGTGTGTAGCTGGAAGACTGCTTTCTTCCACGCTTCTCGACGTTTCGTCAGGACAATCGCCGTTGTCGCACAAAGTTGGGTTGCAACACTGTACGTCACGGTCGCAGGGTTGACCGATGGCGATTGCGACATCTGCTTCCCCGTGTTCGCCGTCCGTCGCCGATTTCGGCGCGCCGTCGACCGATGGCTTAGGTCTCAGATTCGCCCTGCACACTGGGCAGGTTCTCCTCCCTTCCAGCCACATGTCGATACACGATTCGTGGAATCTGTGACCGCACACCGGAAGAGACTTGATTTCGTCGCCTGGTTCGTAGTCTTGTAAGCAGATGCAGCACTGACGGAAACTGACACAATCGCTCTCCTTGGCTTGCTCTGCAGCGAAAACGAAGGTTGGAAAGCTCTTGACGAGGTCTTTATCCAAGCCGTAAAGTATCCGCCGCTGGTTATTCCTGTCATCCTCCTGTTCTGGTTCAGGAGCAATGAACCAGCGAGCGAAAACGAGGCACAGGAAAAGACCGACGAAGGCAAGAAACGCGGCGGTAATCGAGGCGATAAAGGCGCCTGGAGGAAGATCAGACGAGCTGGAGTTGGAATCAGGAACAGGCGGAGGGGGTGAAATTGTTGCCATGGCGTGTATTAAAACCACGTATTCCTCCCTAGCAGAAATGTTGGGTATTAAGAGCTTGGTCTAGAATCGCGTGCCAATGCAACCTGACTTACGTCAACAGGCATTTACTTCTGAAACAAGAGACTGGATCGCTTGTAACAAAAACTACACCGTATTCAGCTGAAAGATAAGAGAGCCAACTTAGAAGGCGCTTTAAAAATCGAAAATCGCCGACTGCTTGAAGTTGACAGATTGAAGACCGAAGGGAGGAAAGCTAGAGAACGAACAGGGAAGTGCAAACGGGGATGATAGATTAGAACTGGAGCATAAAGAACGAGAGGGAGAGGTAAGGTAAATTTGGTCCTACAACTCTCTGCAAGAAACTGGCGAGGCGATCGTGCTGACCAGGCAGTGCTTCAGCCGGAGCAGGTGGCCGAAACGTCGAAGTCTTCCATGGTTAGTTGGTTGCACGCACACAACTCCCCGTTTTGATTCTAACGAAGGTGATGTTGGAAGAAGGTTGGGTCTTGCGATTGATTGACACCCTTCACACCAGGCCAGATATCCCATTTCCCCACAGCCCCCCCCTGCCCACCAACGAAAGTTGTTTTGTAGATGGGCATTGCGTTTGGCTAAAACAACGACAGTCGTTGTAATTGCACTTGGTAGGAACTGCCGCTAGGCGATCCAACAAGGAATGCGTGAGTGGAATAGTTTTACGCACCTCTTGTTTCCGGCATTTGTTAGGGACAAATAGGAGTTTTAACCGGGGTTTCCGCACATAATAGTTTCCGTCCCGTGGAATTTGATGTTTTTGTGATGGACACCCAACGCAAACTTTCTTCAGGAATTCACCCGCCGCAAGTTTCTGGCAGAACGTACGCCCGAACCCCAAACCCTACCACATTGATAGGCTAGATTCGAGCACACCTGATGCCTTCAGTCTGGTTAGGGCTCAGTCACCTTGCGCAGGCATCAGCAAGAGGTGGTGGTGAGGTGAGGTGGAGAGAGGCTTTGCTTTCTGATTGGTGTGGCGTCTGGCGCGGCATGCCAACCACTGGGTATTGGCCAATGGTGGGTTGTTGTGATTCTTCCCACATGTGAACCTTGGCAATCATCAAATGACAGCACACACATCTGTCAGGCCACACAGCTCACTGTATCTTGAAAGTCGTAATCATTTCCCTGGTTGTCCCCGTTGTTGGCCCATGATGAACGGAAAGGATACCTCCACATGATTGAGCATTCGGATATGACACCAATAACTTTTGTGCTTTAGCACTACCAGCACATATCGAGATAACATGGTGTTTGGAAATAGTCAAAATGCATGCTGGTAAGTGAAAAAAGGCACTTAATATATCAAGATTCCCTATTTTAATTCACAAATGCATAAAATGAGCTCATTAAAACAGGTATATACAGAAGTTGCTCATTACTGCAATATGTTATACATGAAACCCTTCTGAAAACAACAACCCAATGAACCAGTCTACCTTGATTGAAACGAAGATTTTCAATGCAGCGTACGCAACTGTTTCCGACCGTTCGAGTCTTCCGCCACTGATTGGCCCGTCCATCCAGACCCCCGCGAAACTTCCAGTTCTCGTGAAGCCTTCGTGAAGCCTTCGTGGAGCCCCTAAAATATTTTCGCAGCACACCACCAACATCGTGAACCGTGACGACGGTCCGTCTATTCCCGTTACCCGTTAGACTCCCACAGCATTCAATGGCCAAAGTAGTAGCATAGGCAGCGTAGCAGTAGAGCCAGAACAGCAGCATAGCAGCAGTGCGCGAACAGCAGCACAGCAGCCCACATAGTACACTCTATCGGGCGATGACTAGGTGTCGTCACACACAGTGAATACGATATTTTCCACGCCCTTATTGCTGATGGCTGCTGCTGGCTGGTTGCTCGCCGAGCCGCGACCGTGTGCCTCTTGGCATTCCGGGGTTTTCCGCGCTTCGCCTGGCTGGGATAGTAGGGGGTGGGCGAAACAGTTGCCACGGCAGCCAAGAGTCAGGTGACGCAATGACGGCTGCCCTTGTACGCGATAGAAGCGGACATCATCCTACTCGCCAGGAGCATTCGCACGTTTCTTTTGGTTCCAATCGTGGAACACCGCCGTACGGATCGGCGTGCATGAGGCCGAGTAACCACCGCCAACGACTGATTTACGTGACGAGACTCTAAGTCAAGGCACTCGTTTCCTCTCCTCGTTCCCATTGGTCGAAAAGAGGTCGTGGGAATTATTCCTTCCAAGGCAGACTCAGTCGGCAGCGGCAGCAGCACCACCGACGGCGCTCCCGCTAAATACTCACTTTCGATGGATCCAATTTCAATGCGACAACATAGCAAAGCCACCGTTCCCTCATACAAACACGCCCAGTTCCGATTATTCGTGCCCGTTCCCCTTCTCTCTCCTTCTCACTCCCTCAGTCCGCCTCTCCGCCTCCCAAGCCTCGACCTCGCTCCTCCTTTTAGCATTCCAGCAACCACGCTGCTTCGCCTGCTCTCAGAGCCCTCTCCCCCTCCTCCCCTCTCCTTTCACAGCTCATCCTTCCCTCCTGATCTGACGGCCATCGCACCCCTCCGCCGATGTCACACACGTACCTTCCCCTCTCCGAGGCCGGACAAACATAAAAGATCTGGTTGGTTCTCTCAGGCCATCCCATCTTCCAGCCAGGCCCGGCTTAGCAACCAGCAGCTGCTCGATTTGAACACAACGTAAGGCGTCTGGCCACACTTCTTCCCAAAGGCATATCCAGCCATTCCTGAAGGCGAGGGATTTGAAGCAGTAGCGCTTTCAAGCCTTGTGCCTTTAGCTGCAAATCACGCCTCACGCTTTCACCTGCTGTCCTAGATTTGAGAACACCGACCAAGGCCAGTCACACCACTCTCTCCAACACCATGGGCTGCTTCGGGTTCAGCTCTCGGGACACGTCTCCCGAACGCGACGGCCCTGATTCACCCCACTCTCCGCAGCCCTCCCGCGTGAGCAGATCAACGGGCGCAGCAGCAGCCAAATGCAAATCCCCCGTGACCACCAAGCCGCGCGGAAGCTTCCTCTCCCGCTCCGAGTCCGCGCCCATGACCAAGGTGCGCGCGCGCGCTCTTTCCGCCACGAACAGCCCGCGGTCCGCGCCGTCCACTCCGCCAGCGTATCCCTCGAAAGACGCAGCCGCATCTGCCGCTGCTTTTGGCGGGAAGCCGCAGCTCCTACCGAGCCCCAAGGGAATTCCTTCCCCTGCAGCTTCCACGAAAGCGGCTTCTGGCAGCTCTAGCAGTGCGTCGCAGAGCCCTCGCAGCCGGAAAAAGGCGTCGTCGGCGACGACCAGGCGATCGTCCAGCTGGCTCCGCCCTGCCACGTCAGGAGGGTCGAGTTCCACGTGTAGCCCTGCCAGCTCATCCAGCATCGCATCCTCGCCGTCAGTCTCGGCTGAGATCAACGGCGCAGAGTCATCGGATCGGCAGATCGTGAAGAGTAAAAGCGCAGCCGGAGCGGAACCGATCCGTAAAGTCACACCCGTTACAGTGGACCCCGCTTTAAGTCCTCCTAACCTGCTGGAGAAGTCCAAGTCGTTACCAGAACTCGCGAATTCGCCAATCATGTCAGGCATGCACCACCACGCTGGCGTCCTGATGCCCATCTGCGAACCCTCTAGCGAATTCTCGCCACGCTCAAATTCGCACAACCAGTTTTCGTCAACGCCATGCGAGGTCCGTGAGGCGTTACCTGGGTACCAGCCCACACAGGACGGCCTGCCCGAACGGACGATGGCTGGCCCGATTCCCTTCACATACGCGCAAGTGGAAGAAATGACGAGAAATTTCGATATCGAGGGATTTCTCGGCGAGGGTGGGTTCGGATCGGTTTTCAAAGGTTACCTTCCCACACGGAGCGGCCGGCGAATCCCGGTCGCCGTAAAAGTGCTTGACACGTGCGGGCATCAGGGGGAGCGGGAGTGGTTGACGGAGGTTAGCTTTCTCGGGCTCCTGGAACACCCTAATCTGGTTTGTCTGATTGGATATTGCGCCGAGGAGGATCAACGGCTGCTAGTGTACGAGTTCCTTCCACGCGGTTCGCTCGAGTTTTTGCTTTTCGGGGAGGATGCGCTGGCAAATCCACTGACGTGGCACCAACGGTTGAAGATCGCGTACGGCGCGGCAGCAGGATTGGCGTATCTGCATGAGGAGGCGGAGCATCAAGTCATCTATCGCGATTTCAAGACGTCAAATATTCTATTAACGAATGATCTCGAAGTGAAGTTATCGGATTTTGGAATGGCGAGGGAAGGGCCTGACGGGGAGAAGACTCACGTATCGACACGAGTGGTGGGGACTGGGGTATGCGGCGCCCGAGTACGTGCTAACGGGGCACCTTACAACGAAGAGTGACGTGTACGGGTTCGGCGTGGTGCTTCTGGAGCTGATGACGGGAAGGCTGGCGCTGGACAAAGAAAGGTACGTGAGTTGCCAAGTTCTATTTCCACATACGATCACCCCCTGCAAAGTTCCCCATTATACGCTTTTGATTTCCAAATCCTGCTTTTCTAGTCTTCACATTTTCAACAAAACGTCTAACCTGGTTTCTGGTATTTCTTTTCCTTTCCAGACCACGCGAGGAGCAGAGCCTGGTCGAGTGGGCCTCCCCCTTCCTCTCCGCACCATCCACGCTGTACCGCATAATGGACCCAGTACTCCGCGGTCGGTACTCCGCTCGAGGCGCACAAATGGTCGCGGCGATCGTCAAAGAGTGCCTGCAGAAGAAAGCCAAGCGCCGCCCGAAAATGTCCGAGGTGGTTGCTGCGCTGCGCCCAGTGCTTGATCTGCATGACATGGCGGGCTTTTGCACTGAGGAAATGCGGGCGGGGTTAGGGGGACAACTATGTGCTTCTATCGGGGGGAATGGCAGCACAATTTGTAATGCAGCAGGGCCACAGCGTTTTTATCGGAGTGAAAGCGCAGGGACTCTCGAAGAGGGAAAGTCGATTTCCTCTTCTCCGAAAGCCAACGCCGACATGAACGCTGCCGATGCTGTGCGAGTGGTTGTAACCATGGATGGCGACTGTAACCAGGTGTCACAGGCTTGTGGTGCAGCAGCTAGAGCCTCAAGTAGTGGTAACCTGAAGCCTAGACTGCCCAGTCCCCGCCAGGCAAGTCCCAAGAGGGTGATTTCCCCAAACGTGGCAGGTAGCCCGTGGCGTGCGGGAAGGCCAAGGAGTTTGCCAGGTGTTTGATGTAGCAACACCAAGGGGAACCTTTCCCACTGGTTAGGGGAGGGATGGGAAAGGGTGATGTGTAGAAAGGGTTGGGTGGGAGGGGCTGATTATTTAGTCGCGAGCCCACATCGGGCATGCGGTGTTCTGGTGTTGTAATTGTAGTACTTGTTTGTTTCAATGAACCATGAGACACCAACAGAAAGAAAGGTGGTTGAATAACCTTGGACAAAATATGGTTGGATTTAGAGGTTGTGTGGATCAGGGCTAATTTTTGGATTTTAGCAACCCTTGCGATTAGTGTTGCTCAATTTCCTAAACCCTGATTATCAGTGTGACCCCTTATGAAAGCTCGTGACATCACCTTGAGCCGAGCTGCAGATCACGTCCCCCTAGTTCCGTTCCGACCAAACTTAACGTCATCTTTCCCGTGCTCCACACATATGCTGCATCGCAAGATCGGCAACCCTTCCTCGTTTTTATCAAGCACCAGCCACTCAAACTTCGGTAGCCACTGCGTGATGTACAGCTACATCGCCTTCCAAAATTTCTCCTCCGCCTCTTCGGCGCGGGTGAGTTCACGAGACACACGCGAGGGAGCTTGGACGGGGGCCGGAGGTGGAGTCGGCTTCGCAGGGGGCGTGCCAAACGGGAGATATGCTTGCGCAAAGCGCCGTTGCTTCCTAGAGGCAGTAGACGAAGACTCGCCGACCTCTGTTACGATGACTGTGGCGGGAGCACTGTCGGGCTCAACGGCAGAGGAACCAGCTGGACGAGAAGGAGGGACTTTTTCGCCATCGCATGATGACGGGCCTGCAGTGCAGACAGGCGGAGGGTTCTGATGCAGCCCTCAGAGAAAATCAATGCCTGTCCGCGATGGGGCGTCATTAGGTGGTTCGTCAGCAGCTTCTCCATCATCGTCCAGTATGCGCCATGGCTGCGGGTGTGTATCTGGCAAAACGACAGGCTCAGATGGAAAGCACAACAGAGAGAGAGGTCTCTCGTGACCAAGCCGAGACCACACCACAACCGAGCTGGTGCCCCCAATCCCAATTGCACTCGTTTCCTATCGTGCTGGCAAACGAGGCAGTTGAGCCACCCACAGTTGTGCAAAGAACGCAGTGCCCAGTGGGCTAGAGGGCGCCGACTTTCAGCGGCAGTAAGCCTGGTTTCCTGCCCAACCGGTCAACTTGGCATGTCAGACAACATGACCGAGTTGATACATTGGCGGTATCTACAAGAAACTGTATTTCTGGCCAATGGTGGCCCACTTTGTCAAACATATATGTATATATATGTTATAGTTTGGGTAGGCTTAGTGGGGTACTCACTGTGGGGTACAACCCCTTAGGTTTCACCTTTGTACCAACCCTCTCGACAGTCAATTTCACTCATGCCTATACTCTAAGATGGTATCTAGAGCCTAGAGGCCTTTAGGACCTAAGATTAGGGCCCACCCGTTACCACATTACCTCATTTGCCTGCCTGCCTTGCCTGCTGCCCGCGCGTGCCTCGGCTGCACGCGCGCGGCCCCATATTTTTTTCCAGCGCGCGTCAGTTAAGCAGCCCGCGCGCAGCCCGTTTAGGCTCGTTTAGGCCCAGTTTCGGCCCCGCGTGCCACGACAGCCGCCCGCGCGCAGCCCGCTTAGGCCCTGCGCGCCGCATCTGCCGCCCGCGCAGCCTGCTGCCGGCCCGCGCGCCGCTTAAGCCGCCCGCGCAGCCTGCCGCCGGCCCCTTGCGTCGCCTCCTCCGGTGTGTAGCCCGCCCCTGCTCCGCGCGCCGCCTTAGGAGCCAGCGCACAGCCTACTGCTGCACCGTGCCCCGCCTTAGGAGCCCGTGTGCGGCCCGTTGCTGCACCACGCGCCGCTTTAGAGGCCCACGCTCGGCCCACTGCTGCCCTCCGTGCTGCCTTAGGAGTCCGTGCACCACCACAGCAGTCCGTAAGCCGCCACTGCAGCCTTGCACGCAGTCTCTCCTTGCTTGCCTTTTGCCTTGCCGCCTGCGCACTCGACTTGCCTACACTGCACGCATGGCGACTCTCAACGTGCTCGCGTTCGATCCTGACGGTCGCCCAGTAGAGTTTTCCACCTGGCTTGACGACCTGCAAATATTCCTTATGACTGATGCCAAGGACGGTGTTTCCTTATTTGATTACGTGTCGGGCACTGCCGTTGCTCCGGCTGCCACTGAACCTGCTCTAGACCGCTCCCAGTGGCAGACCCGCGATGCTGCTGCGCGCCTATCTATTCGCAACCATCTGCCGATCACAGAGCGCGCACATTTTAGCCAACACAAGACTGCCAAGGCACTGTACGACGCTGTAGTTGCCCGCTACTCTTCCCCGGCCACTGCAGCCCTCGGTCGACTTATGCTACCCTACCTGTTCCCCGACCTGTCCTCGTTTACCACGGCTGAGGACCTCATCTCTCACCTATGCGCTAGTAACACTCGCCTTCATGCCGCCCTTCCAGCCGAGTTCCTCACAGAGAACCGCCCCCCGATGTACTTTACTCTCTACTTCCTCATCACCCGCCTCCCTGACACTCTCCGCTCAGTCAGGGACAACTTCCTCGCCCTTGACCCCCATTCTCTCACTGTCGACGACCTCAAGAAGCACCTCCTCGCAGCAGAGAAGACCATCCTCACTGTAGGTGCTGCTCGCGGTACTCCTCGCTCTCCCCTCTTTGAGGGGTGCTCCCCCTCCCCTCTTACCCTCTCCTACGCCTCCGCAGCTGCTGCTCTCGACTACCTTGGTGCTGAGGAGGTCGGGGCTGCTTCCGCTCCTAGTGGGAAGCGCCGCAGCGGCAGGGGCGGCAAGGGTGGCAAGGGAGGTGGGGGTGGCGGTGGGGGTGGCGGTGGAGGGGGCGGTGGTGCAGGCGGCGGGGGAGGTGGAGGTGGTGGGGGTGGTCGTGGGGGTGGAGGTGGTGGAGGTGGTTTTGGGGGCGGCGGAGGCACTGGGAGCAGTGGAGGTGGCAGCGGGGGTGGTGGGGGAGGAGGGAGCGATAGTGGGAGTGGTGGTCAGGGGCACCAGCAGCAGCAGCCGCAGCAGCAGCAGCAGCAGCAACAACAGCATCCGCGGCAGACCCTCACTTCCTAGCAGCTTCTTGACTGGTATGCCAGGCGTGGGGCTTCTGGGGGTCCTGGTCGCTGCCCCTATCTCATTCGCACAGGTCCCCGCGCTGGTCGCCAGTGCACAGGGTTTCACACTGAGCAGCGCTGCTTCGCTCGGCTTAGCGACGCCTGGCGCGTCAAGTTTCCTGATGCTCCTGAGTTCCCCAACTGGGCAGAGCTGCTTAGGCGTGATATACCTATCTTTGATCTTGACTATGAGGCTATTCTTGCTGCCATGTATGCATTGACTGTTAGTGCTGAGGGTGACTGCTACTTGTGTGTGCCGCCGGATCCTGGTACAGCCCCTGGTATAGCCCCTGCAGCACTAGGTGCTTGTGAGTCTGCTCCCCCTGGTACTGCGCCTGCACAGGCCTTGCACACCTTTACACTTGACTTTGGTGCTTCGCGCTGTTTCTTCCGCGACAGTACCACAGTCACTCCCCTCCCTGCACCTGTTCCTGTCTCACTGGCTGACCCCTCTGGGGGGCCGGTGCTTGCACGGTCTTCCAATGTGCTTCCGTGTCCGGCGGTCCCGTCTGGTGAGCTGTCTGGTCTCCACCTCCCCTCATTCTCTACGAACTTGGTGAGCAACGCTGTCCTCCAGGATGCGGGTGTTGACACCTTCACCCCTGACCAGCAGCGTGTGGCGATCTGCACGTGCTCCCAGACCGGCCGCCACCTGGCCACGTTCACCCGTGCGCCAGGGTCCAGTCTGTACACCCTCACCACTACGTCGCGCTCCACCCCTTTGTCTCCCCAGCTGCACGCGTCTGCTCAGGTAGCTACCTAGTGTGAGTGTCGCCGGCTGTCGCACGACACTCTCCTGTGGCACCACTGCCTTGGTCACCCCTCCCTGCCTCGCCTTCGTAGCATGCACTCTCGCTTTCTGGTCTCTGGTCGGCAGCGCGCCGCTCCTCACTCCTGCTCTTTCCCTCCCACAGAGGCTCCACTGCAGACTCTCCACCTGGACGTGTGGGGCCCAGCCCGCGTCCGTGGACAGGGCCACGAGCGGTACTTCCTGCTGGTTGTCGACGACTACACGCGCTACACCACAGTCTTCCCCTTGCAGCGCAAGGGGGATGTCCCTGATGTTTTGATCCCCTGGATCTGCGCTACTCGTCTCCAGCTCCGCGAGCGGTTCCAGTCGGACTTTCCTGTCCTGCGTCTGCACTCTGACAGAGGTGGTGAGTTCTCCTCATACCTCTTGGCAGCCTTCTGTGCGGAGCACGGCATCCGCCAGAATTTCACACTTCCGGCCTCTCCGCAGCAAAATGGGGTTGCTGAGCGCCGCATTGGCTTAGTCATGGAGGTCGCTCGTACTTCCATGATCCATGCGGCTGCCCCCCATTTTCTGTGGCCGTTTGCGGTCCGGTACGCCGCGCATCAGCTAAACCTTTGGCCCCGTGTCTCGTTGCCGGAGACCTTGCCTACGCTGCTGTGGACGGGGAAGGTTGGCGATGCGTCGCGTTTCCGGGTCTGAGGTGCTCGTGCCTTTGTCCGCGATACCACCGCAGACAAGCTCTCCCCTCGCGCTATTCCTTGCGTCTTCCTTGGCTTTGTCCCTGACGCGCCTGGCTGGCAGTTTTACGACCCCGCCTCGCGCCGTGTCTTTGCGTCCCAGGACGTCACCTTTGACGAGTCGATCCCCTTTTACCGCCTCTTCCCCTACCGCACTGCTCCTCGCCCTCTCCCGCCGCTCTTTCTCGCCCCAGGTCCTCCCCAGGTATACCCCCTCCCCGCGCCAGGTCCTGCTCCTTCAGGTGTTTCTCAGGTAGACCCTCCCGTCACTGGTGACTCCGGTCCTGCTGGCGGTGGTGTTGTCCGTGGGGGTGCGGAGCTTGGGGGTGCGCAGAGTGGGGGTGCTGAGTCTGGGGGCGCTGAGGGTGAGGGGCCTGCGGGTACGGAGCCTGGAGGTGCTGAGCCTGCGTGTGAGGTGCCTGGAGGTCC